CCAGCCACTGCCTCCAAAGGAGGAGAGGAAGACACACGCTGCAGCTCTGGGAGCAGGCACTGGCAGCCCCCTGCAAGAGTCCCACCTCCCCGAAGGCACACGGAGATGCCCAAGTGCTTTGGGAAGACCCTCTCGCAATGCCAGTCTGCACAAGGGTTGCATCTGCTGCCTCCAGGCCTAGAGCTGGCAGGAGGTGGGCAAGGGGCTGAGCGGGCAGTTCTCGAACTCTGCATCGCAGACACATCTTCTGTGTCCTGAATTAAACAGGAAAGACTCAGGAGAGAGAAGAAAGGTTTGTGAATAAAATGATTTGTGCCAAATGGGAGGTGACGCTGCCCCGAGGCAGCAATGCCTGAATGTACAAAGTATTATTTTTTAAAGAAACTCTGCTGGAATCATACTAGAAATACCAAGGTGCAAGGCAAAGCCTGCTTGTGCACAGCCCTGCGAAAAGCCCGGCCTTTCCACACTCCATCTGCATTGTCACCGGCCTCACACCTTTCCCCATGAAAACAGATCCGTCCAAAACTTCGGTGTCGTTGGTGCTGCTGTAATTCTAAGGGAGAATTAATGGCTTTCCCTTGTTTTCTCCATGTGGAGCTTCTGGATGGAGATGAGCATGGGTTTGTTTTTCTGCACTTTTCCTTGCTTCCCGCACAGAGGCAGCAGCAGCAGCCACTTGGCTGCATTTTCCATAGCCGTTTGTCCTGCTCTGCCTCTGCCCTGACCCCAGGGTGGAGGGGGAGCCGGTGGCTTTCTCTGCCTGCAGCAGACCCTCCTCACCTTCCTGCCTCTCACGGCGCTGAGGAACCTGCCCCGTCGTGCTCAAGGCTTTCAGGCCTCTTGGTTTGTGCCTGCTGCACAGGGCCCCCGCGGAGTCCATGCAGATGGGTGTCACCGTTTCTGGACAGCATCTCGCTTTTTTTGTGTGTGAGAGAGGAGTAATTTACTCTTTGGAAGGAGGTCAGATCTTGCACAGAGATCTGAAGCTTTACAGTTTGAGAGCAGGCGGCCGAAGATGTTTGTTTTATATTCCAGCTCGATTGTGTTCCCCATTTAAGTGATGTGTGACCTCAGTGATGATGGAGCCTGCTGGCATGGATGGGGCCTTCTGGGAACCCTCGGCCTCTGCTCAGTTCACTTCCAAGCTCCTCCCGTGCTGCTTCAGCACTGCTCTCAGGAGCACGTCCCTTCCTTTGCCGTCTTGGTCCCGAGATGCAGTATTTGCACATTCGATTTGTATACGTATTTCAGAGGAGCTGGAATAAAAGTGTGAGGACGGTGGGGTGGTCTTACCCACCTCAACAGCCTGGGCATAAGGGGAGTTGCCAGGGGAATGGTTACAGGTGGAAATCTCCTGGAGTAGGCTGGACTGTGCCCATGGGCACTATTGCGAGCCAAGTCCCTGAGTGCTGAGGCAGATTGGCATGGGATGTGCCCTTGGGAGCCTCTGCTGCGTGGTGCACCCATCGCCAAGGAGCTTGCTTAGGGGCAGGTCCTGCCCAGCTTCTGGTGGTGGCTGCTGCTTGCCTTCTAGTCTGGGAGCAGCTTGGAGATCCTGCCTCTTGCAGGCCACAGAAGACAGATGCTGGGAGGCTGTCCCTTCCCTTCCCGTGTCCCTTTCCCCTGTCCCTCTGGCTTCCCAGAGAGGCAGCCCCTGATCCCCCCTTGTGATGCTCTGTGAGGTTTCCAGCAGGTTTTTGAGCGTATGCTGCGGCAGATACTCCTTTGAGTATCCTCCCCCAATTTGTTGTCCCTGCTGAAGGAGCCCAAGGGACTGGATTTCCATGGCTCTTTCCAGGTGACCACCTTTGCGGTTCCTGTGTCAGCCTGGACCTGGGACTGTCATCTGTAGAGTCCCTGCCACGGTGGCAGTGGGGTGCCGGGGCTGGATTGGGCCGAGGTTGTGGCTGGGGAGGGGTGGGCACCCACCCACCCTCGGCTTGGTGCATGAACGGGGTCTCCAGCCAGCTGCTGTGGAGCCCTGGGCCAGTGGTAGGGCCGGTGGCATCCGTACACTACGGTGAGCTGAGATTCCAGAGGGCAGGTGGCTGCAGCCGGGAGGAGGGAAGGGGTGAAGAGCCTTTGGTGTCTGTGCCGGCCTCCTCTCCACCCCCGGGGGAAGCACCCCCATGGAGCCTTGTGATTACATTAATTTGATTTACTCCGTTTCATTGAGCACTACAAAGCTATGGGCACCTTTATCTCCCAGCTCACTGGCTCCAGGTCCGTGACCCCTGCTCTGCTTTCCCTCGCATCCCAGCTCCCCCCCATCGGCAGGGGC